AGGAATTTGGTAGGATTCTTTTGCCTGTTATGCCAGATAGTCTCTATAGTATTGGAATTAATTATTCTTTAAATGTTTGGTAGAATTCACTTATAAATCCATCTGGCTCTGGAGATTTTTTTCTTGGGGAGTTCACTGATGGCTTGTTCAATTTCTTTTTCTTAAATGAGGTTGCTTAAGTATTTTATTTCCTCTTCTGTTACCCTGGGCAATTTATGTTTTTGTAAATATTCATCCATTTCACTCAGACTATCAGATGGTTTGGCAAAATAGCTTCCAATTATCGTTTTAATTTCCTCTTCATTAGTAGTGAATTCACCCTTTTCATTTTTGATGCTGGTAACTTGGTTTTCTTTTTTTTTCCATCAAACTGACCAAAAGTTTATCTATTTTATTGTTTTATTTTTTTCATAAATCCAGCTCTTAGTTTTATTTATTAGTTCAATAGTTTTCTTACTTCCAATTTTATTCATCTCTCCTTTGACTTTCAGAATTTCTGGTTTGGTATTTAATTTGAGGTTTTCAATTTGTTCTTTTTCTAGTTTTTTAATAGCATGTCCAATTCACTGATCTCTTTATTTTATTCATGTAAGCATTTAAAGATACAAAATTTCCCATAAGAACTGCTTTGGGGGGCAGCTAGGTGGGGCAGTGAATAGAGCACTGGCTCTGGATTCAGGAGGTCCTAAGTTCAAATCCAGCCTCAGATATATGACACTTACTAGCTGTGTGACCCTGGGCAAGTCACTTAACCCCAATTGCCTCACCAAAAAAAAAAAAAAGAGTGAAGACAAGTATCATCTTCCCATATAGGGATGTAAACAGTTTAACCTTATTGAATAACATGTTTCTTTTTTCTTTCCTATTTACTTTTTTGTGCTTCTCTTGAATCTTGTATTTGAAGATCAAATTTTCTGTTCAGCTCTGGTCTTTTCATCAGGAAAGTTTGAAAATCCTCCATTTCATTCAATGTCCATCTTTTCCCCTGAAAGATTATTATCAGTTTTTCTGGGTATTGATTCTTGGTTGTAATCTTCTAAAATATCACTTTCCAAGCTCTCTGATCCTTTAATGTAGAAGCTGCTAAGTTCTATGAAATTCTGATTGTAGCTCCTTGATATTTAAATTGTTTCTTTCTGGCTGCTTACAATATTTTCTCCTTGATCTGATAATTCTGGAATTTGGCTACAATACTTCTTGAAGTTTTCATTTTGGGATCTCTTTCAGGAGGTGGATTCATTCAATGACTATTTTACCCTCTGTCTCTAGGATATCAGGGCAGTTTTCCTTGATAATTTCTTGAAAGATGCTGTCTGGGCTCTTTTTTTTTTTTTAATCATGGCTTTCAAGTAGTCCACTAAATCTTAAATTATCTCTCCTCGATCTGTTTTCCAGGTCAGTTGTTTTTCCAATGAGGTATTTATATTTTCTTCTATTTTTTTTTTCATTTCTCTGATTTTGTTTGATTTTTGATGTCTGATAGTCATTAGCTTCCACTTGTCCAATCCTAATTTTTAAGGAATTATTTCCTTCATTTAGCTGTTGTACTGCTAATTTTACTATTTTTTAAAATTATTCCAAGTATTTTAATAAGAGTTCTGTGCAAGGCATTTAAAACACCACTTTGTGAAGATAAACTCTGTTGGAGAGACAGAATACAGAATGCAGGTAGCCATGGAGCTGAGGAATTTTCTTGATTTGGGGCACGATCTGAGAGTCCACTGTTTTCTGATCAGTCTTGCGCTGCTCCGTAATCTTGTGTTTCTCTTTTCCTCTGTCAAAAATCTCTCCTTCTTGGTGTGTAGGTTTACGGAGCCTCTTCTTCTTGAAGTAAGCATCAGTGAGATGATTTGGAATTTTTACACCCGAAAGGTTAACTCTGGTAGAGGTGGCAATGACAGATTTCTGATGGGTCCTTCTCAGAGGTCCAGTCGCCAGTAGCAAGCCACTCGCCAGCTGCTTCAGGAAAACCACTTGCTTACCCCTGTGGCAGCCAGTGAGCATGATCAGAACTGAGCTCCAGCTGTCCTCACGTGCTAAGGGGCTTTCTAGGCACATCCTCAGCATGGTACTACCTTGGCATCTTGCAAATCTTTACCACATGGGTTCCTCCATTCTTATCACCACCAACTGGCTTGAAGATAGTAGCAGGCACCTTCTCTTTCTTCCTCCTTTCAACCTGGGTTTTTGGTGCAGCGTACTTTCACTTGTACATGGCTCGATGGGAATACACTGCAGACCTAGAGTTATCTCCCAATCCTTTGGGCCAGGACTGGGTTCTGCCTGCAGTGCTTTTGAGGATTTTTCACCACCTTTTCAGCCACATCTTCCTTTTCTGTTCTTCAGGGTTTTTTTGGTCTGCCATCTTGAGAGAGGGAAAGAGCCAATTTTACTTCTTAAGGAGTTGTTTTCTTCAGTGGATTTTTCCTCCCCATTTGGCCAATTGTATTTTTTAAGGAATTATTTTCTTCAGTCAATTTTTGTCCTTCCTTTTCCAAACTGCTGACACTCCCTTGTGTAACTCATTTCTTTTCCCAAGTTTTCTTCTACTTCTCTTACTTGATTTTTAAAATCCTTTTTGAGCTCTTCATATTTCCCTTTGAGGTTTCACATGCAAGCATTTTGACAATGTTGTTCTCGTCTGAGTTTGTATTTTGATCTTCCCTGTTGCCAAAGTAGCTTTCTATGGTCAGCTATCTTTTCTGTTTTTCTGTTCATTTTTAAGTCTATTTCGTGACCTTTAAGGCTAAGCTCTGCTCCTGGCTTTCCACACTGGGGCCTCAAGCGCTTGTGGCATGTCCACTGCGATGGAGTGGCCCAGGCTGGTGGCGCCTGTGGTGCCCTGGGTTCTGGGGTTTGCAGTTTGCCTGCTGTGCTAAGACTGGAGGCTGGCCTGCTGAGCCAGAACCGAAGGGCCTTGGCTGCTGATCTCTGCCACGACAAAGAACCTTTTCTTGGCTTGCCCGGACACCACTGGTGCTGGCCTGCACTCCCCTTTTGCCCAAGTGAGAGACCTTAAGACCTTCTAAGTTATCTTAAGCTGCAGAATGGTTTCACTCTGTCTTTTTGGGGGTTGTGCCGCTCCAGAATCTGTCAGAGGCTTGATTTGATGCTGATTCTGAAGGAAACTGGGGAGAACTCAGGTACCTTCCTGGCTTCCCTCTGCCATCTCTGTTTATATCCTAGACGCTTTTTATCCTGGTTCTTTTTTAAGACCTTCTATGTTTACGATTAATAGCATTTCAAAGCATAAATCAGTGTTGTCCTTTGTCAAAGGCTCTTCCTGTCTTTACTACTACTACGACTGTGTAGTTTGAGATGATTCTCTCTTTAACATAAGTGGTCGTCTTAATGGCCTGATGCCATCTCTGCATCTCCAGTATAAACAGCGCTTAGTTAGCACACATTATTTGGGAAATGCATCGCTTGCTAGACTCTTGTTCAGTGCTGTGAACACGGCAGCTAGAATGGGATCAGACCCCGACCAGCTGTGGAATCCTGGGCAAGTCACAAAATACACTCTCAGCCCTAGTTTCCTGACTCGTAAAGTAGGGGTCACTGTAGCCCTAAGCTCACAGGGCTGTTATGAGGAACAGATTAAGAGTGCTTGTAAACCTTAAAAGCACTACAAAATGTTTCCTGTTAGGACTGTTGTCAGGATAGTATTCAAAATTAGAATAAGGACAGGAAAAGAAGAGAGGCGGGTAAATGGGGAAAAACAGCCTTTGCATGAAATCCTGGATGCAGGTTTGGGAGCAGAAGTGATCCCTGGGGGACAAGGGGTCTAAAGGTAAGAACAAACAAAGCCTCTCAGAAATGGGGCTGGAAGGATGGCAAAGCCTGGAGGTGCCTGAGATCATCAGTGTCCCCCAAGACATTGGCGTCTGGCAGTTGGCTACCTCTGCTCCGATCATTCCAAGAGAGTGAGGAGACTGTCCGTGGCCTCTGACCAGAGAGTCTGCGGCTAGGCGCGTACCCCAGGGAGGTCAACGACAAAAATGAGAATGTGTCAAGCAGCCCTTCTGGCGGTAGCAAAGAGCTGGAAGCAGTGGATGCACATCAGCTGGGCCCAGCACCTCAAAGGGCAATGGAGGAGGCACGTGACGGTGCACGACCAATCAGACCGGGGCATGCCCTCTAGGGGTTCGGGATGGGATGCAGAAGCCAGGAAGGGCATACAGGGCACACCCAGAAGCAAGAGAGCCGAGGATCAAGTGTGTGTGTATGTGTGTGTGGGGGGGAGACAGGAAGAGAGAAGGCAGATTTTTATTAACTGAGAAAAACAAAATTTAATTTAAAAAATAATAACAGCTAGCACTTATATAATGACCTGTTAGACCCTCAACACAACCCTGTGAGATAGGGACTCTTATCCCCATTTCACAGACAAGTAACTGAGGCCAAGAGGTGAACACCCAGACAGGAAGGGTTGAGCCCTCTGTCCACCAGCCTACATGGCTGCTTATGGAACTGGAAAGACTCCAAGCCCTCCCCTGGGGAGCACCACCCTACTCGACTCTCCACCTCTCTCACCCCTCAAAGGTCATCTAGTCCAGACAGGAAGAATTGACAGGCTCCAAGATAGTTTGCCTGGGGACTCCTAGGGCATGCTGTGTGGGAGAGGCAGAATTTGCACACAGGCCCGCAGTACTCTCCCTGCTGTCCTAATCATTTCTAAGCCCTCCTACATCGCCCAGACCCTCACTGCCTCCTGCCTCCTGCCTCCAGCCCACCCTCCCTTTTCCCCAAGTGATCCCAGCCTTCTGGCTCTCGCCCTCCTAGTGTGCCAGGGCCTTCCCTCTGTGAATTCTTCCAACTTTGTCTGTTTCTGGTCTCCCCTGAGGGCACAGACTGCCTCCTGTGCCTCTTTCTGTAGCCCCAGTGTGCCCGGCACCTAGTAGGTGCTCAACAACACTTTCTGTCTCTAGATGGGGTGGATGAGTCATTGGCAGAAACATGGCGCCCATGCCCCGCGCCCAGCCCCTCCTCCCAGCACATACTTGTAGGTGGGGATGTTCCACAGACCCTGCCACTTGTATGTCTTCAGAGAAAGCCAGCCCAGGGTCTTCATGCCACAGTAGATGCCCAGCCCATTACACAGGAGCACGTCCATTATCCACTGGAAAGGAGAACAGCGTCACACCCCGACCCATCTCCATGGCCCATGCCATCAGGTCTCAGGGCACACCTCTGCGCCTCCCATGGAAAGAGAGGGAATGAGCCCTAGTTAGGGCCTACTGTGCACCCAGTGCCGGCTGAGCGAGCTCACAACCACCCTGGCAGGCTACTGTCCCCATTTCACAGGCGAGGAAACTGAGGCAGACAGTGGTGAAGGGACTTGCCCAGGGTCCCAGGTGGATTTGAATCCAGGCCCAGCGCTCTGGGGTACTGCGGTGTCCCTGGCTGCCCTTATGGATGAAAAAGGACAAAAGTCCTAAAAGAAGCCATGACCTTGAACTATACTGAACTGTCCCATAAGAAGGTGAGACAAGCAAGTACAGCAGACACAACTGCCTAATCCCACCTTACACCAGACACTGCCTCAGTTTCCTCCTCTGGAAGATGGGCTCACAGGAGATAACATCTTGTCACCATCACAGAGATAAGGCAGAAAAAGAAAACTGCAAATTGTAACTTCATACATTGGTGGAAAACAGACTATATCAGAGAGCCAAAGAAAGGAGGGTCAAGCAGGATGTGTACTAGAAGATGCTGACATTTGGAAAATAACCCAGCAACAAGAAAACTGAGAAGGGTTGATCGGGATTTGGAGAAAGGGCCTCTGATCACATTCAGTGGGAGAGAGAGGAAGTAAGGCGGGCGGGGGGGGAGGGGAGGGCAGAGCAGGTAGGCTTCTCCCCCCCTCCCCCAAACAACCTCATGAAACCATCTTAATAAAAATGTTCTTCGGGAAGGTCTCCTCGGCCCCATTTCCACACTAGATGAAAACAACTTTAGTTTCTGGATTCACTAACACTCAGTCACACACACACATTCACAGTTACACAGGCATCCACACACATACAGAGTTACATTCACAGCTACATACACAGTCACAGACTCACACAGTTACATACACATATATACATGGCCACACAGTTACATACACACATACACACACAGTTACAGTCATATACACAGTTACACAATTGCATATATATAGTCACAGCCACACACACAGTTACACACATACACACACAGCCACAGTTACATACACACAGAAACAGTTACAGTCACAAACACACCCAAATTATACACACATATACTCACACAGTCAGAGTCACACACAGAGTTAGGTATACAGTCACATACAGTCACACACACGTAGTTACATACATATAATTACACATACACAGAAACAGTTACACACACTGACACACAGCTACATAAATACATACACACATGCACACACTTACAAACAGACTCAGTTGCACACACACAAAAGCACACACACACACAGTTACACATGCTTCCACACACATACATAGTTACATTCACAGCTACACAGTCACAGACTCACATAGTTAAATACACATATACACACAGCCACATAGTTACACACACACAGAAACCCACACAGTTACACACACATACTCACAGTTACACAGTCACACACAGTTATAGCCACAGTTACATATACACAAAAACAGTCACAAACACACTCTTAGTTATACACACATATACTCACAGTCACATACAGTCACACACTCATGCCTAGTTACATACATATATACACACAGCTAGTTACATATACACAGAAATGCAGTTACATACACACTGACATACAGCTACATATATACAGTCACATACAGTTACATACACAGACTCAGTTACACACATATTCAGTTACATTTATAGTCACAAATAGTCAGTTACACACATTTCCACACATACGGTTACATTCACAGTCACAGACTCACATGGTTACATACATATACACACACAGCCAGTTACATACACACAGAAACACAGTCACGACATGCATACTCAGTTACATACAGTCACAGCACTCACACAGTTACATACAGAAACACAGTTTCTGTCACAAACACATTCTCAGTTACACACACATACAGTTACATACAGTCACAGAGTCACACACTCACACATAGTTGTGTGTGTATATATATATATAAAACATATATATATAAAAATATATTTATATATATACACACAGCCAGTTACATAGACACAGAAACACAGTTATACACACACTGACAAAGCTACATATATACGCAGTCACAGTCACACACAGTTACATTTATAGTCACAGTCACACAGTTACACACATATACACACAGCCACACACAATCACAGTTACACATACAGTCACACACATACACAGCGATAGTCATATACGCACACACAGCTACATATATGCACAGTCACTCACACACACAGTCACACGGGGGCTCCACACACCACCCATCCCTGTCCTAGCCAAGTCCTTTTCCTGTCAGGGAGGGTGTGGGCATGAGGGGGTTCAGTGTGCATTCTGCAGGGATTCTGGTGTGAGCCACAGCCTCCAACCTGTGTGTGACTTCAAGTAGACAGGAGATGGGCCCAGTTCAGAATTTGGAGCTCAGTCACAGGAAACCACCACCTTGGGTCTCAGCTTCCTCACCCAGAGGCCCAAGCATCTGAGGCCTGATTTGAACTAGGAATTCGGTGACTCTCCCCTAGCCCACAGCCCCGAGCTGCCTCCCTGCTCAGGGCCATACAGGTCAGGGGATGGGGTGGGGCTCAACACCCACATCTTGCAGAATGAGGAAAGGAGGGGTGGGGAGGGGTCAGGAAACAAATACCTACGTGATCCCACCAGCACTCGCTGAAATTGGGCAACTGGTGCTCCAAGCTGTATTCCAAGAACTCGAACATCACGCTGATAATCATGCACATCCACCAGTCCCGAATCATGAGCGTCTGCAGGCGCGAGCCACAAGGGGAGCCTGGCACCTTCCCTCCCCCTGCCCCAGGGCTGCCCAGGCCCGTGGGGGAGGGGTATCGTGGCCCCCTCCGCCCCTAGCCTTGGGTCAGCCAGTTAGGCAACAGATGCCCCTGCCCTCAGGGAGCCCACAGCCATGGGGACCAGGGCTCTTCCCCTCTCCCTCCTACGGCCCCCTCCTCTCTGCAGGGGCCTCCACACCCCGGGCCATACCTTTAAATACCAGCCGAGGAAATGAGCAGGAACAAATCCATCCAGTTTGTCCTGCAGAAAAACAGGAGAGCGTCTGTGGGCTGTCCGAGGGGGTCTCTGCCAGGCCCTGGGGGCTCAGACTCCCCGGGTGACATCCCTGACAAGTGGCCACCATCGAAAGACCTCTGGTGACAGCTAACTTACTACCTACCAAATGCCACAAGGCATGAATTTGAATCTGGCCTCTGACACTTCCTAGCTGTGGACCCTGAGCAAGTCACTTCCCCTCCGTCTGCCTTAGTTTCCTCAACTGTAAAACGAGGAGGACAGTGGCGCCCATCTCTGACAGGATCCAAGGAGATCCTCTTGCTGAAGCACTCAGCTCAGAGCCCCACCTCCCACCCTCGCGCCTCACCCAGATGTTGTGAAATGGGTCCGTCTTGTTGTCAGGATCATAAATGAGGCAGTTTCCTCCATAGTCTCGCTCTGGCAAGGGGACACCCAGCTTAGGGTCGATGTACTTCAAAAACTGCCTTCCATCATGCACCGTCTGCAAGACCAAAAGAAACCGGTTCTGCAGAGGGCTCCCAGGACCCTGCCTAAGGCCGGAAAGAAGGGACAGGCAGAGGTCAGCCGGCCCCTATCCACGGCTCAGAGAGAAGGTACAAGGGCAGAGGTCAGCCAGCCCCCCCTGCAGCTGGCCTCCCCCAAGTCTAAATGCCGTGGCAGCTCAGAGAGAAGGGTTGAGGAGGAGCCAGGCTGAGTCTGGGGTCCTCCATGTTTTCCAGACCAAATGGGGCAAGGGAAGAAAAGTGGATGCCCCGGACACAGAGCCTGAACTAGCATTGTTTACCTGGGACACCAGGTTCTCAGCCTCCCTCCACCCCCTGTTCAAAGCTCACTGAATGCTCCTGATCCCCGCCCACCCCCACCATCTTCATCCAGCAGGGCCATTTCCAAGGGGACAATGCTGAGATGCCCCCCTGCCTTGAGGTGATTTAGGGTCTGGGCTGCCACTGGCCTTCCTGCACAGAGGGGGCTCAAGCCCAGCCTGGCTTCCTAGGCTGTTCTCACTGCTGCCTCCCCAGGCTCGCCAGCATCCCGGGGAGGCTGCAGCTGGTCGGGGTGTGACGATGGGAGAATTCTTGATCCTGAGCCCAGGACAGCCTTGAGCCAAGATATGCCACAGCATAAGCACAAAGACCCTGCAAAACCTGGGCTGTCCAGCCCAGGAAGCTGATAAGCATTGTTTAAGCACTCACAGCATACCAGGCCTAGGGAAAGAAAGAAATGGAAGAAACAGCCCAGGCTGTCAGAGGGCCAGCATGTACACACAGAGCAGATGCAGGGTGAGACCCCCACAGAAGCCAGGATGGAGAGGCGGGGGCCACTGAAGGGCCACAGAGCCCCCACAAGTTTTGTTCTGGTTAAGGTGTGCATCCACCTAAGGGAGCAGGGGTCATGGCCCTGGCAGCAGAGAGAGGGGGAGACATGTGCAGACTCGGGAATCCTTGTCTTCGGGGTCCCGCTTCCAGGTGCGCTCTCTGGCTCCGGTGTGGCTGTGACCTTCACATCAGCAGATGACCTTGGCTACAGTAGGGAGTGGCTATACCGCATTCTCCCATGGGACCTGGCCACCATCTTAGTGTGGCCACAAGAGTGAGACCAGACCTCACGTGGCCCAGGCCTCGGTCAACAAGGGAGGGCGGCTCTTTGGCGCTGGTGAGGCTCCTCATGGAGATGTGGACACATCCCTGTGGCTGACCTTGAGTGGACACAAAGCTGTGGGTGTGTGTGTCTGAGAGGGGGAGCTTGTTTTTTAACTGCCTCGCAGACTTGGGGAGTCAGTGTGGGGGAACGAGGCCAGAGGTGAGAGTGGGCCAGGCTTCTGAGTCCAAGACAGATGGACACGCTGGACTGGTGAGCTGGCCAGGGCAAAGATGCCGCAGCGGCGAGCTCCCCAAGAGAGGAAAGGGCCCAGGACAAAGACCCAAAGTCAGCCGGCAACGTGGGCGGACACCTCGTGTGTTGGCCGGTGGCCCTGAACCTTCTCCTTCTCTAGCCCAGCAGTGGCTCTGCCTGGGGTGTCGTGGAAGCCCTCCACAGCTGCTCAGGAACTGCCCTGTGGACCACCGGGCCTAACCTTTCTGTAGGTGGTGGTGCACAGCCCCTGTTGGTGTGGGAGTGCCTATTTTTCGCGTTAGCCCTCAGCACTGCACTCTGCACACAGTAAGCGCTTAATAAATGCTACCATGACTTGTTTGTCCCTCCACAAGGGGATTTCAGCCTTCATGTCAACGCTCTCTCCCCCACTCCGTCCACCCAATTCCAAGGCCTGCACCTCGCCTTGGATGGACCCAGGGTGGTCCCTCCCTTCTCATCCCTGGCGGAATCCCCTGTCTTCTCTCCCTGTACGTGGAGCTCTGTATGTACCCTTGACCTCATTCCCTCGTGTCTTTTCCAGATCGCTACCCTCCCCCTTTCCATCTACAAATGCTACCAACAGGTCTACACCTCCCCCAGAGACCCTGCCATCCCCTCAGGCTTTTGTTCTAAATCTCTCCCAGACCACTGGGTCTGGAGTCAGCAAGACCTGAGTTCAAATCCAGCTGTGGACACTTGCTAGCTGAGGGACTCCCCTCTCTCTACCTTTGGCTTCCTCATCTATACACTGAGGGTGACAGCAGCACTGTCCCCCCGGGCTGCTGTGAGGATCAGGTGAGAAGGTGCCTGGCACACAACAGGCACCTAATTCTCACCCTCTCCCCTCCTCGAGGGGCTCAGTCCCTTCCCAAGCCTGAGGAAGCTGGCTTCCTGCCTCACCATTTCCTTCATCTCTATGAAAGTGACCAATGGCGAACGGTCTCAGGCCGAGGCAATCTGTGTGTCCCATGGCCTGGGGCTAGCTGCTTGGCTGCCCTTGGGGGGCCCTGTGAAGGGAGTGGGAGTCGGCACTTCTGGCAGTCTGGGGCCAGACCCTGCAGAGACGGCGTCCCCAGGCGCCATCTGTGGGACCGGCCACTGTCGCGCTGCTGCCTTCGCTGCCGGGCGCACCACAGACTGGAAGAGACCAAGAGAAAAGTCCCATGACCTCTCTTTGGAAAAATAAAATCCAATTTTATTGATAGATTTGGTTTCTACAGTGGCTGCATTTCCCACCCCGAGCCACCCCCTAGAATCAAAAGAGGAAACCAACATGACCTGCCAAACGTCAGACGTCACAGGTGCCCTCTGGGAGGGGGAAGGGAGGCATCTCCTTGGGCTCTGGGGCCCCCATAACCAAACCTGGCGGTCTGGCAGTGGTCCAGCAGCTTTGGGGGAGGGGGGTCTTGTGGAGGGCCCTTCTTTCCTAGCTTTCTTTCAGTGTCTCCCCAAGCCCACCTGGATCCTTCCCAGGGACAGCCTGTCGCAGGCACACATTGGGAAGATTGAGGCATCTCTCCGCTGGTTTCCACAAAACATGTGACTGGACGCTCAGGTCTCCAGGGGGCCGGCCGGTCTTTTTATCACTGACCTCCCTAGTAATGCTTCTCTAGGTCAAAGAGCATGGCATCTCCATACCCAATCCGACAACATTCTTGATCTCTGCAGCATCTGGCCCTGCTGATCAAGTCGCGGGCCTTGGACACACACAAGGTGGACTCGCAGAAACGACCACATGCACGGGCCTCCCACATCTCTGCATCCAGTTGGATTCTCTCTTGTGAGTTCTGGTCCCTCCCTCCCTCAGGCTCCCAGTTGTGTAATGCGCCCACACATCCGATCAGCTGCTCTGTCTTGTCACACCTACCTCTGAGCCTCAGAGATATGGAGGTGGAAGGCCTGCGGCGGCTATCTGGTTCAGCGGAGGCCAAGATTTTCTCAAGGGGCTCACTCCCTAGAGTCCCTGGGAATGTGCTCCCCTTTTCACACCCCCTTAGGTGCAGCTGCCCTGTTCTCCACATCCTGCCTGGCTCCCCTGCCTCAAATGGCCTCCTGGAGCCCAGGCCAGAGTCTGTCCCTGATTCCGAATTGCCAGGGCCTCGTGTTCACAAGCCGTCTCCCTGCTAGACTGCAGCGAGAACTCCTAAGAGAAGCTGGCTCGTTGGGGTTTGGCTGTTCCAATGCCTGGCCCAGCCACAGCGGGGGCCACATCCACAGAGGCTTGTTGGTGGCACTGGCCACTGTGACGTGGATGAGCAAGACCAGGGAGCTGAGGAAGCGGGCAGAGCCCGAAGGCACCAGGCCCCCCGACCCCGGCAGGATGTGAGGTTCTCCCCAGGGAGAGGAGGGGGAGTCACTGCAACCTGGAGCCGAGAGCCAAGAGAAGCCCCCTTGGAAGGGACGATGGCAGAGAAGAGGAGCACCGGGCGGGCAGGGGCTGCACTCGGGTTCTCTGCCAGGGAGATGATCTTTGGATGAGAAAGATAAAGGCAGAAAGGGAGCAGGCAGACGGAGATGAGATGAGAGGAAGCATTTATTAAGGCCTTACTGTGGTGTGCCAAGCACAGGGGTACAATTCAAGCAGGACAGTTCCTATTCTCAGAAGTTAACACAGTAAAGGGAGGAAGATAAAGAACAAAAGGAAGTTATGTGTTTGGCAGAGGTAGAGAGAGGCTGAGTCCACTGCGTGGGAATGACCATGGTGGAGGGCGCTGCGGTGCGGGGATGGCCATGGTGAGTGGTGCCACGGCGCAGGGACAGCCATGGTGGTGGGCGCTGCAGTGCGGGGATGGCCACGGCCATGGTAGTGGGCGCTGCGGTGCGGGGATGGCCACGGCGAGTGGTGCCACAGTGGTAGGCGCTGTGGTGCAGGGATGGCCACAGAGCGGGAATGGCCAGGAAGTGCCTTGGAGACCAGGTTGCGGGCAAGATAGGGTAAAACGTCACCCTTGAGAGCTCCAGGGTTTATGAGTGAAGGGGAGGATGACCACCAGAAAGGCAATGCGGGTGGAGAGGGTGGGGAAGTGGATGTGAGACTGGGTAGTAGGCCCAGATATGGTCCAAGATCACCTCTCTAAGTCTGGCATCCCAGGCTGAAGGCCAACCTCCCTATGGTGAGGCCCAGATGAATGACATCCCCCGGTCACTATGGAGCCCCTACAGCCAGGAAAGAGGCAAATGGCCCGATTTTCACAAAAGGGAAGGGCACGGAATGAGCAAACCATAGGCCAGGGAGATGCACTCTGGCTCCGGCAGACTCTCAAAGGCCTAATGAAGGTGAGAACAAGGGAAACGCCAGCGTCAGCAGAGCTTCATCAGGGAAGTCACACCAGAGTGGCCTGACCTCGATGCTGCAAAGCATCTGACCAAGTGTGCCTGACTGAGTAAGAAAGGCGCAGACACGTGGCTGGACCCAAGCATCATCAGGGGGATTCGAAGACAGAGACTGCTGGAAGGGTCCAATGACCTGAGCATCATTAGCAGGGACGGAGGCAGGAAGGCATTCTCTTCCCATCCCTCTGGGAGCCCACTCTCCATCGACAAACCTTCCACACAGTAGCCCATCCCCCACACCCAGGCCTCCACCATTCTTCAGAAATACTCCCCAACCACTCCTGTTCTTTCCCTCCTCTTTGGCTTCTGATCTGCTCATCCAACATGATTAGGGGAAGCCTTTCCTCCACCTTCATCCTTCAGGACCACTGCTGATTTCCCTCCCCCCTTTCTCTCCCTCCCCACCCCTTGGCTGCTGGCACCAGCTCCTGGGACCTGCTTCTCCCCCCCTAGTGCCAGCACACCCCCGTTAGGTGTATTGACAATCAGGGCTGGTCAGCCTGGATTCCGACTCTGGGAGTCCCCCCATAGAGCACAGGTCACATGGGGAAATGAACTCATCTTGTGTGTTTTGCACCAGCCTTGGATGAGGAAGAGCACCCCCACCAAAAAGAACAAAGTGGCCCTATGACCCAGGGCCAGGTCTGAACGCTTAACTTGAGGCTCACTCAGGGAAACTCACCCCTAACACCTTTGTTCCAGGTGACTCTGAGCAGGGGGAGTGGGAGGGAAAGAATGAGAAGGAAAGGAAATGGGGAAGGGAGAGAGAATGAGAAGGGGGAGGGGAGGAGTGAAACCACCCAAAGAGGTCAGCACTCAAGGGTAAGGGGCTGAAGGGTGGGGAATCCTGATACCCCTGAAAAGGAAGTGATCAGGTCTGGTCTCAAGAGGAAAACAGACACTTTGGGAACACGAATCTTCTCTAAGCACACACTGACCAGAAGGTCCTTCGCTCAAGAAGAAATGACCTGGCCTGGCAGGGGTTGGGGGCCTAAACGCCAACCCTGGTCTAGGGAGGATGGGCCTCAGAACCCTCAGGTCTGACTTCCACCCAGGGAGAGAGCCCACAGCAATGCCCTGCTCACTGGAGAGCTCCCGGGGGGGAGGGCAGCCCAGGCCCCCTCGCTGAGCTGGATCTCCAAATGAGATCTTGTTCCGTTGAGATCTGAGGCATTGGTTGCAGGCGCCCCAGATTCTTTGCCAGGAGAGACAAAGTGTCTGCTTCCAGGGCCTGACATGTTAGTTAAAGAGGGTGGTGCTTTAAGATGATCCCATGAGCTATCAGGTGCTCGCTCCCTGAGTAAACTGGCTGGGTAAGCTAGCCCACATGGGGCTTCCCAGAAGACCAGGGCCACCTCCACATGTTACTGTGGCTGCTCCCCTCCTCCTGGGTAGGGCGTGGCCCTAGACCCCCCCCCCCCAGTCTACAAGACAGCACGCGCTCAATGGTTTTGAGGTGGGGGAGGGGAGGTCTTTCTGTCCTTTCCAGCCCTGACACCACCTTGGCCCCGCGACAGTCCATGCTCAGCATGGCAATGACAAAGCGGCTTACCTGGAAGAGGATGAAGATGAGGAAGAGCTCGTAGACGACGCTGACGCACAGCCAGAACCTCCAGTAAGCTACAAGGACAGAGAAGCAGCAGGTGTTGACCTCTGGTCTCACTCACCCCAGGGGGCTGAAAGGAGGCTTCCTCCGGCCAACCCAGCAATGCCCAAGGCTTGAATTCCTTCCAAGGGCCTACCGGGCCATTCCCCTCAGCTTGGGCAGCCACAGGCCCTGCCTTGTACCTCCTAAGACCAGGGAGTCCTTGACTGAGGGCTGCACCCTCGGACCACAGGGGCAGCAACCAGACAAAGCTCCCCAAGTCCACAGCTGGCGCGTCCATTGGTGGCAGCTTGTCCTCTGCCCTGGAAGCCACGAGTCCACACCAGCAGAAGGGTGGGTGAAGGCACTGGCATCACCCGTCACCCACAAGAAGGACAGACCACCATCTTCAGGGATTTCAAGGCCTGTCCAGGGCTGGATGTTGGAAAACCCGCTGATGCCCTGACTCTATAGAACACTCCCTCCCTGCTTTTCTTCCAGGGATTCAGTCTCAGCATCACCAGAAACGGGGACGTTCCCTTTCTAGAAGACATCACTGGTGTAGTTCCTAAGCCTACTCCGACGATGCCTTTCACCAAACCTGCCGCCAGCATCGTGCTGGGGCCTCCATTCCTAGGCTAGTTACCCCTCCAACCTCCACTGCTCCCCACCCAAATGGCCCCCACTGACTGAACCCTCAAGGCCCAACAAGGCCCAGGCTTCACTTGTATACCTCCAGGTAAGGGAGCTCACCACCTCCTGAGGAACTCATTCTTTGCCTCTTTTCTGATCTCAGTGCTGCTTGGGGGTACCCAACCACGCCCATCTATTTCTCTGCCTCACCTCCTCCCAATCCTCTCACTGGGGTGGCTTCCTTGGGACCATCCCTAGATGATCGACATCCTTTCTCACTCGGGGAGGCACAGGACAGGGCAGGAGTCCACTTCGCACAGTGCCTGGCATGGAGACTGACTGAGGGTGTTTTCTCAGCTTCAACTACCCTAAGGAAAAACACCCTGATTTTTATCCAACAGTCGTCTAACCCTAAATGTCTCTCTTACCTGAGCTCTGTGAAGCTCATTTGTCCAAAGACAAGAGGTAACCTTTCTATTTATCCCTACTGAATTCCATCTTGTCAGATCCAGCCCAGTGTTCTAGCCTGTCTAGTCTTTGTGTCTCTTGACTCTTGTCATCCGCTGAGTGACTCCTATCAGCATGGCATCCCCCTAAAATGTGCTGAGCCTTCCATCTGTGCCTTTATGCAATCACTGACCAAAATAGTTACCACACAAAGCCAAGCGCAGATCCCTGAGGCACTCCACTGGAGACTTCCTTCAAAGCCCACTTCTTAACATGTGCCCCACTCACTTCAGTAATTACAGTCTAGCCAACATCTCATCACCTTTTCTAGGTAAACAGTGCGAAATTCTTTATCAGATATTGTAATAAAATTGGAAACAATCCACAGAGGAAAGGCACTAGAAATAGAGGCCTCAGGGAAGGCTTCTTTTAGGAGGTAAGATTTGAGCTGGGACTTAGAGGGAGCCAGGGAAGCCAGGGGACAGAGAGGAGAAGGGACAGTCTGAGAGATGTGTGCTTTGGGGAGATCACTTTGGTGGCTAAATGCTAGATGGAATGAAAGGCAGGCAGACCCTCCAGCAGGTACTGTACCCAGGTGGGGGCAGTCAGAGGAGAGAAGAGGGAATACTGGGGAGATACTGCAGAGGTAAAAAGGACCAGAGATGCTTTAGAGGTGAAATGGACCAGAGATGGTGCAGAGGAGGTATTGACCAGAGGTGCAGCAGAGGTGAAGTGGACCAGAGGTGCTGCAGAGGTGAAACGGACCAGACGTGCTGCAGAGGTGAAACGGACCAGAGGTGCTGCACAGGTGAAACGGACCAGAGGTGCAGCAGAGGTGAAGTGGACCAGACGTGCTGCAGAGGTGAAACGGACCAGACGTGCTGCAGAGGTGAAACGGACCAGAGGTGCTGCAGAGGTGAAATGGACCAGAGGTGCAGCAGAGGTGAAATGGACCAGAGGTGCTGCAGAGGTGAAGCGGACCAGGGGTGCTGCAGAGGTGAAACGGACCAGGGGTGCTGCAGAGGTGAAACAGACCAGGGGTGCTGCAGAGGTGAAGTGGACCAGGGGTGCTGCAGAGGTGGAATCGACAGGCCTTGACATCATATTGGATATGGGCACAAGAGAGTAAAGAGCCCAAGATGACTCCTGGGTTGTGAGCCTAAGGGACTGAGAGGAGAGCATTGCTCCCCACAGTCATAAAAAAAATGAGGGGTGAAGAGGGGAGTGTTGTGGGGTGGAGAGAGGTTAAGATCATGAGCTCTGCTTTGGACATATTTAGTTGAAGGTATCTGCTGGATGTCCAGTTCAAGATGTCTGAAAGGCAGCTGGAGATGCAAGACTGGAGGTCGACAGAGAGGCTGGGGCAGGAAAAGGAGATCGGAGCATCACGAGCATAAAGAATGTAGTTAAATCCATGGGAGCTGATGAGATCACCAAGTGAAGTAGTTTAGAGGGAAAAACAGCAGAGGGTCCCATGGTTAGAGGGCATGATCTGGAGGAGGATCCACCCAAGGATACTGAAGAGGAGAGGGCAGAGAGGAAGGACGAGAGCCACGAGGGGGGGAGGGGTGTCCTGAAAACCTAAAGAGAAGAGAGGGTCTAGGAGAAGAGTGATCACCAGTGTCCAAAGTCACAAAGAGGTCAAGGAGAAGGAGGACTGAGAAAAAAGACCACTGGGGATCTAAAAGACGGGGGATAAGTCTGCCTGGGCCACCTGAATAGAAGACTCCAAAGCCTTTCTGGGTGAGACGTGGGGAAGCACTTTGCAGAGAAGCAGATCTATGGTTGCAGTCTGATGCACAATCTCATTGGATGGACAGACCTTGTACTCACTCCAGGCCGTGCTGGCTCCCCCCCACCCCAGTCTCCCCATGGTCTGCCCAGGCCAGAGTTGCCAGGCCTCTGCGGAGACCTCACCCAGAATTCTTGGGAGCTACGGAGGGCACCAAACCCCATCCTCTCATTGGAGGCTACCTGGTCCCCACACAGTGGCCAACTACTGTTCCCCCAGGAACCTCACTTCATCCATATACCTGGAGAGGTTTAAGGTCACTGCCCCAGGGGCTCTTCAAGGCAGGCAGAGTCTTGTGTGCCCAGTCACCAACAGCCACCCTTAAGGGCAATGCAGTAAATCCAACAGTGAATGACAAGTTACCTGGGTGAGGTCTGGAGAACGGTCCATCTTTGGCCTGTGTGACTCCAAAGCACAAGAAAACTAAGATGCTGGCCACGACCCCTCTGAGGACAAAGAGCAAAGAGCCCTTCAGTGTCTGTGCTACTGCCCTGGGCACACCGCCCCCCCCCCCAGAATCTCCAAGTCACCTCCCCCCTTAAGGCTGCCCCCTAAGAGAGCAGCCCAAGAGCTAGGCCCTTCTATTCCAAAGGGGCTCCCCACCTCTCCTCTTCAAGAGAGCTGAGTCCCACACTGACTTGTGAGGCAGCCACAGGGCAGTGCCCCTAGAGTCAGGAAGACCCAAGTTCACATCCAGCCTCAGACACTGCCTAGCAGGGTGACCCTGGGTAAATGCTGAATCCGTCTGCCTCAGTTTCCTCATCTGTGAATTAAGGGTAAGAACAACAAAACTGACATCCCAGGGTTCCTGTGGGGATCAAATGAGGTAACATTTGTTAGGTGCTTGGCTTGGGGCCTGGCACACAGTAGGTGCTATACAGATGCTGATTCTGTGTGTTCCCTTTTGTGTCCCCTCCTCTCCCTGAAAGCAGCTCTATGCTTCGTGAAGGTTACAGCACAGACACCACCCATCACAGCCCACACCCTGCTTTACTGTGTTCGATCAGACTTCCAACTACCAGAGAGCCCCTTGATTTTATCTTGGACACACCTGACCCCAAGAAGCTGCTAATTCACTCTCCAGCCTCCCCCCAAAAAGCCCAGGAGGTGGTCTTTAAGGGAGCACACTGGTACTAGGAACTCATGCAGCAGAGTCTGCTTGTCCATGGAGGACCCTGGCAAGAACACCCCTGAGGGCTGATGTGGCCTTCATGATCAACATGAGCTAAGGCCGGCAATGGGGGGCTCTTCAACCTCTCAGCAGGCCCTTTGTACCTCACCAGGAACAAGATCTGACTCAAAGCACTAGCGAAAGAAGAAGCTCCCAGTATCTCTGTCCCATCTGAAGTTGCAGTGAGTGCAAAAGCCAAGCCAAAGGCTCAACACCAATGCACCACAGGCAGAGCATACAACTTCTTATAGGAAAAGTAAAGTGAGTTGCAGGAGGGGACCTCAATTTACTCCTCTCAGGGTAAATCTAACCATAAAATAAAAAAGAAGTCAAGAAGAATAAAAGCTTAGAAAAGTTAGATATGACTGACCTTTGGAGAATACTGAGCAAGAATAGAAAGGAGTATATCTATTTCTCATGTGTGCATGTGATACCTCTACAAAAAATTGACCGAGCATCGGACATAAAAACCTTACAAAGAAATGTAACCAGAAAAGCAGAAATACTAAATGCACCTTTTTCTGAACATGATGCAACAAAAATAATACATTCAAAAAACAGTCTCTGAAGCAGAGATAAAAAGTTAATTGGAAACTAAATAACCTAATTCTAAAAAATGAGTGGGTCTGAGAACAAATCACAGAAACAATCAATAAGGTCACTAAAGACCATAACAATGAGACAAAGTTCCAAAATTTGTGTGTTGGAGCCAAAGCTACTTAGGAGAAAATTCTTATCTCTAAATATATCAATTTAAAAAAAAAGAGAAAGAAAAGGTGGCACAGTGGATAGAGTACCGGCACTGAAGTCAGAATGACCTGAGTTCAAATGCGGTCTCAGACACATAAGACTCACTAGCTGTGTGTGACTCTGAGCAAGTCACTTAACCCCAAATGCCTAACCAAAAAAAACCAAAAACCAAAAACCAAATTAACAAATTGAGCATGTAACTAAACAAACTAGAAAAACATCAAATTAAAACCCTCCCAATTAAACATCAAAACAGAAATCCAGAAAATCAAAGGCAGATTAAAAAACTGAGTCAAAAAAACCCAAACAAAACATTAAACCAATAAGTAAAGCTAGGAGCTGATTTTATGAAAGAAAGAAAAAATAAACCATTGGCTAAACTGATTGTTAAAAGAAGAAAAACAAATTACCAATGTCAAAAGTAAAAAGGGTAAATGCACAACTAATGAAGATGAAATTAAAGCAATTACTAAAAGCTATTTTGCCCAACCAAATGCCAATAGTACTGACAATTTAAATGAAATGGATGAACTATTTACAAAAATATAAATTGCCCAGATTAAAAAAAGAGGAAATAGAAAAAGAAATCGAACAAGCCAAATATGAGCTCCCTAAGACAAGAAACTCAAGACCAGATGGATTTACAAGCAAATCCTACCAAATATTTCAAGAACAACTAATTCCAAAAAAATAGGTAAAGAGTCCTACCAAATTCCTTCTATCACACAAATATGGTTTTGATACCTGAACCAGGGAAAGCAAAAGCAAAGAAAGAAAACTACAGACAGTTCCATTTCTAGACAACTGAAGGCAGCCACCCGCCATTTTCTCCCTTCCCACCAGGCCAAAGTCCTCTGGAAGCCTGTGGAGCATTTTATCCCCAACAGACCTGTCATGCACTCAAACACAAGCAGGTTCTGGGGCATGCTGGGGTCCTAGGCCAGGCGACAGCAACAGCAGGGACAGCCCCAGAACAATGGCGGGCCTGAGCTTCCTCACCAAAGAGGTGAACAGGCACCTCTCTAAGACACTCCTGATGAACCACCATTTCTGTCTGGCTCGCTGGCTATAACTCTAGGGGAGAATGGACCCAGGAAGCAGGCCTGAGGCCCAGGCTTACCGTTTGGTGTTGTAGGCAGTATCCTGAGGAGTCTCTTCCAGCAGGGTCACGTAGCCAAGGGCGCAGGTGAGGATGAACAAGACCGTTAAGGTGTGAGCTCTCCTGAAACACATGGAAAAAGGAACAGTTACAAAAGTCGGGCGCTTTCACTCCATCATTAGTCACGCGCACTGAAGGACTTCCAGGGTCATCTAGTCTCACTTAGACTTGAGCTCTGACCCCAGACCCTCCATTTTAAGCAGTGCCCACATTCCTTCCTCCTCCTGCCTTCCCTCCTGGCTCTGCCCATTAGCGCAGACTGTGTGCCAGGCATCGTGCTAAGCCTGGCAATACAAGGGAGGCAAAAGCCAGCCCTGCCCTCGGGGAGTTCCCCAGGAGGAGACATCACATGAACAAGGATGTACAAACAACAGATGTCCAGGCTAAAACAGAACAGTCCACAGAGGAAAGGAAGCTACTGAGATTAGGGAGGCCTGCGATTTCAACTGGGCCCTCAAGGAAGCCAAGGAAGCTGGGGAAGCGCCTTGTGCCCGTGACAGCCGGTACTTAGCCCAGTGCCTGGCACACAGTAGGTGCTTGAAAAATATGTGGAGGGGAAGACAGGAAGGGTTGGACAGTTATGAAGAGGATTCTATGGGTGTGACCCTAGAGGGAACAGGTGTACTGAATGTACTGAAGGTGGAGGACACAGTGGGACCCGAACGTAGGAAGATCACTTCGCAGGGAAGATGTGTGGGGTGGGGCTGGGAGAGACACGAAGCAGGCAGACTCCCCAGCATTTACTGCCAGGGTCCAGGTTTGAGGCTGAGAGCCTGCACCAGGGCCAGGGCAGTGTCACAGGAGAGAAGGGGGCATCCTGGGGGCTAGGGTGAGGGTGACTACCTTCCATGTGAGCTCTCCCCCTGGGAGAGCCCTCAGCACAGTGCCTGGCACACAGTAAGGGATTAATAAATCAGTGCAATGATTGACCATGACTCCCGAGGACCAACAGAGAGGGCCTGTCTGAACACACGTGGGGACTCATTTTTCCTGACTCTGGGGATAGGGCCCTACGCTCAGTGACTCTCTTTTCAGTGGGTGGGGAGAAGTGAGATGGAGAAAACATTACAAATGGATTTGAACACTGCCTTCACTTTCTGGAGGCAGAGAGCCCTCTCAGGAAGGCAGGGCTTCTGAACCTTATCTGTGTCCCCTTGGCATTCTGGGGAAGCTCACAGACCCCTTCCCAGAATGCTGTTTTCAAATGTATAAGGTGAAACACAAGCATTTATAAAGGAAGCCAATTAAACTAAAACAATGATGAAGACACCTATTTTTCTAAAAGCCCAAGTTCCCAGACATCCCCCTGCAAATCCACCCTCAGACCCATTGGGAGTCTATGCCCTGCCTCTAAAGTTTAACCTGAAACTTCTAAACCTGCACCCCACAGGCCCATCCACAAGTGCTCGTGTCAGGCAACGGCAGTGAGCAGACACTGGGACTGACAGCTGGAAGCTCCCCCAACGGAGGAGGAGGCTGCAAGAGTGTCCATTACATGCCATGAACATTACATGCTCAAAGAACAGCTTGGACCTCCGGGGAAGGAAGGCACATAACCCAGGGCCCATACTCCTATACCAGCAAAAATCTGAAATTCAGACCAGGCCAAGGAAGGACCACAAAACAGTGAGAAACTAGAGGAAGTAGCCCCCTTCTGCTCCAGAATGGCAGGAGACACCAGCCAGAAGCCTGCAGGCCACAGGAAAGGGGACCACTAGGTAAAGTCAACCCCAGCCCATGGCCCCCCAGCCTGACCACAAGTGGCCTAGAGGGCTCTGCATTAAGAGGCTCCCCCAAGGAACCGCTCCTCCCCCAAGGGGAGGTCAGAAATCTAGAGGAGAACCTTGGAAACCAAAAGTACCAGGTAGCAGTGCCCCTGGGCCTCACTCAGGTGTCCAAGGGCTCCCAAGCCCTCTGTCCTGAGACACCACAGGGGGCCAACCACAGCACCCCACCCCAGGAGCAGAAGTGGCTGCTGACCACTGGGTGGGCTGGGCCACATCTGAGTACCTGTTATGATAGGTTTTGTTCTTTAGGAGTTTAATTGAAGGGCTGGGTAGAGGGTGGGAGTGGAGGGGATGGGGAGAGGTGGGGCAAGCAACATTAATGCCAACAAAAGGGCCAGTGGGAAAATGTGAGCTGCACCCAAGAGAATATAGGGAAGTCAGGAAGGATGGACAAATGGATAGATCTATGGATGGATGGACACATAGAGGGATGGATGGAAGGATGGACAGGTGGGTAAATGGATAGATAGATAGATGGATGGATGGATGGATGGGTGGGTGGATGGACAGACAGATAGATGGATGGATGGACAGGCAGATGGACAGATGGGTGAATGGATGAATGGATGGACGGATGGGGGGGTGGATAGACAGATAGATGGATGGATGGACAGATGGCCAGACAGACAGCTATGAAATAGGTCACAGAGCCAGTTGCATCCTCATGAGGCCTTATGGAGGCAGCTGGCTTCCTGGCAATCTTCTCTTTGTGTTCTGCTAGGAATATGGAAATGCTTATTTTGGGGTGTTCTGATTTCAGAATAAAAACCCTTCAACTTTTCCAAAAGAGTATCTACACTTCCCAGGGAAGTGTGGTCAGTGATCTCTTGCTCAGAAAAGAATCTCTTGTGGGAGGCTCTGGAGCCAGGCATCTCTTCCTCATGAGGCCTCCTTTCCCATCAAACCAGTACCAGGCCCTGACTCCCCACCCCCCACCCCCCACCCCCCACCCCCCAGGGGCTCCTCTCCAAACAGTCAAAGGTTATTCTTGCATTAAGGAAACCCTGTGAATTCTCACTGCCACCCATATGGCTCTGGCCTCCTGAGGGGCCTAGCCAGTTGAGGGGGGTGAGGGTGGGGGCACCCTGATGAATGGAGCCAAAGGTAGAGCCTTGAGATTCTTTCCCCCAAGAACCTCAAACAGTTGCTACCCTGCGCCAAGGCACTGAAACTCCTGGGACCACCAAAGCTAGGAAGGTCCCAGGGATGGACTGTGATGCTTCATCCCTTCTGGAGCCCAAGGTCACAGGATAACAGAAGGGCAGGAAAATTGTAGCTGGGTGAGGTAACTCCAGGTGGCCCAAGGAGGAGAGTGGGTGGTTGGGTACTGGGAGCTTCCAGCTTGGGTAAGGAGGGGAGAGGGGAGAGGGAGGGGAAGGGGAGGGAAAATGGAAAGGGGGCAAAAGAAGAGGGAAGGGGAAAGGGGAGAAGAAGGAAGGAGGGAGCAGGGAGGAGAAAGGAAAAGAAGGAGTAGGGAAAGGGAAGAGGATGGGGGAAGGGAGAGAAGAGGGAAGGAGAAGGGAAAAATTCTCACAAAATGCTGAGCCAAGTATACATCACACCACTCAAAACTAAAGCTTCCTGTGCTGAAAGAATCTGTTGGGAGATTCTGGAGAAAAAAACTGCTTTGAAATAGGAATTTCAACTTGCCTAAGGCCACAAAGGTAGGAGGCCCAGGAGCAGGAATTTGAAGCCAGATTCTTCTCACATTATGGCCAGAAGCAGGGGCCTAAAGGATGCAGTCATCTTGGCTTTTCTCTGTCCCCCAAGGACCCCTCAAAGGCAAACCCAAGACCCCACAAGCTTTGCCTCAGACGACCTGACTCCTGAGCTCCAGGACCACCAAGGCCCCCGCATTGGTTTAGAACAACGCGCTGTATGACTGTGAAGAGGATCTGGGAGTGGTTCAGCCAGCATGCTCTCCCTCCCTCCAGACTAAAGTCCAAGCTGGCTCGAACCATTCATAACTCCTCTCTGAACCCCTATCGTGTACAACATGAGCACCCAATCACGCTCTTAGAGCTGATATCTGTACCATCCACCCAAGATCCCCGAGATGCATCCTCTGGTCCAAAAGTAGAGCAGGCCAAACATCCCAACTGTTGGCCGTGGTGACTTGGCCACTCACACTGCTTGGATGAGCCAGGAATCACCAGCTCTACACCTTCTGCCTCCTCCCCTCCCCCCCTTCCTGAGGCCATGGCCCTGAAGGATTCATGGGCTGGGCTGGAAGGGCCAGCAGATCTTTCCACCAGCTATGGGGCGAGACACTCCAATGTGTTATTTCCCCAAATGGGAAGGTGAGCTGTCATCTGGGGAACTTTCTCATTCATTCCTTTGTGGAGCTCTTGGTTCCCTCCTGCCTCCTGCCATCTCTCAAAGATCACAGATCACCTCTTCAGGAGCCCAGGATGCAGCTCTCTGACCGACCCCCTGGGGACCTTCTCATCACTTTATTCAGTGGGTCATGGCCACTCATGCTCCTAGGCAGGGAAGAGAGGAAGAGCTGGGCCTCCTCTCTAGCCTCCTGGCCCTTTGTCTCTCATACCTCAGGCTGGTGAGAGCTGGGCATCAGAAGCCCCACATCCACAGGCAGATAGACGCCCAGATAGCACAGAGTTTACGGGCTCGAGTTCCTGGGAGACAGGGAGGGAGAACATGGCACAGTCCCTCACCCATTCCACCCCCTGTGAGCAATGCCCAAGGCTGGGGCTGCAGGGACCCCAAGGAGCAGCCGGCACAAAGCTGGACAGGAATGCAGGCCAAGTCTCCCTGGCTGATGCCCCGGGGGGTGGGGTGGGGTGAAGGTTCAATGACCACCTCTGAGCCTACGCCCTCTTTTTCACCCAACAACTCCAACTGTCTGCTGGCCAAGGGCCCTGCCCTCCTGCAGGTGACCCAGGCCTGGAAGCTTTCCCTAGGCCTCCCCACACCCTTCCTCTTGACTCATGCCTGGGGCTTGGTCCTGTCCCTGGTCTTCTTGCTTTGGGTTTGCCCCCTCACTACTCCATCCTTCTCACAACTGCCAAAATAATTTCCCTCTAACCCTGCTCAGAGGAGAAAAGGCAACCCCCTCCTTCCTTGGGCAATCTGGGTGCAAGCCACCTTTGCCCACCTGCTTCCCCTGGCCCCTCTCCACCAACCGTGCTGGGCCATGACCTCACCAGCCTTCTCCTTCCCTCCAAAAGAAGCCAAACACCTCTGTAGGAGAACAGATGCCCCCCTGCATCATCACAAAGAAATCCTTCCTCTGTCCAGCTGTCCACACAAGACCTCCCCCGGGAGCACCCTGGGGCAGATGTGACTGGGAGACAGGAGTCTCAAACTGTCTGGAGCCAGACATGGCAGTGGGCAGCGAACTTGGCCAGCAAGGGCTCACAGGGTCACTGCCCAGAAGCCACGAGCCCTTGGGGCCTCCAGGGAGCATGTGGCAGCTGGGGATGCCCCTGAGGGGGCCTGATTCCACTGGAGGGTCCGGGAAGGAATGAATACGAGTGAAAAGACCCTGGCTTCAGGTTGCAGGTAAGGGGTCATGACAAGTCTCTCCCCTTGGCTGGCCCACAGTTCCAACCAGATTGTCTTTCATTCAAAAAGCATTATGGGGCTCCTGTATGAAATAAACAATGGAGGTGCTACCCCTCCCCAGCAGGCCCTGCTCAGCCCAGCATCAAGGTGGGGAGCCCCTGGCTGCCTGGGATTCCACCTGAGGGCTTAGCCTTGGAAGCCTCCAGAACCAGCATACAACCTGCTCAGACCTGCCCTTCCAGCAACCAGCTTGGGGGCATAGAGAAGGATGGCTGGGAAGGGGAGAGCCCAGGAGAGAGAGACTAGAGGGCCCGAGGAGTTCTGGGGGAAAGATAAGGCTTTGTTCTGCCTTGGGAACATGAAGGTGCTGACGTTCAAAGGGGGGTTGGATGTGTAAGCCTGCGGAGGTTGGCATGTCCAGAGGATAGCTGAATCCTTAGCTGGGGCAGAGCTTTGGGGAACCACTGCCCAGGAGGCAAGGTGGCAGGGATGACCAAGGAAGACAGACATGGACATTAAGAAGGGAAGGCAGGAAAGAGCAGCGGATGGCCAAGAGCACCCAGAGCTGCATTTAGGGTCTGTGGGGATGCTGAAGAGAGAGGAAGGGGAGGGACCAGGTCAAGCCCAGTAGGGGTGGGGGGCAGGACCCATCAAGGGCCCAAGGAGACAGACAAGAGAGGCTCTCTGCCCTGCAGGTCCTAGCACCTGCGCATGGGGAGGCTGCCAGGGGCTAGGCAGACAGAGGAAGAAGACGAAGCGAGCCAGGGAGCCACCTCCCCCATGGAGGCCAGGACTGGGTGAGAAGGGAAGTAGAAAGGAGTATAACCCTCTGACCCCTAAGTCTGCACCCATCTGGGAGCTCAGCTGTTCCCTACCACCCACACAGCTGAAGGGCAGGTGCTGGGAAAGAAAGGCAGCCAGGGAATCTAGCTTCAGACACTTACAAACACTGTGACCTTAGGGAAGACCCTGAACCACTTTGTGCCTCAGTTTCCCTATCTGTTAAAATGGGGATCTGAACATCCCCGACTTCACAGAGCTGTGGTGGGGAGCACTTTGAGAACACTAAAGGGCTCTAGAAAGGCTGGCTCTAATTTACCATCACCATCGTTATTAATGACTTCCTGGAACCTCAGCTTCCTCCCCTGTAGACTGGAGAGGCATGTAGTCCAACAGCTGTTGGGTGGCCTTGATGTCATCCTGACCCACAGTGTGACCATGTGTCTTGGTGATCTGTGTTTAGGCAGCAGCCTAAGGAAATGAGAGCCAAACCATCCCCGGCCTCCAAGTTCCCCAGACTCCCAAGCCAGGCTTTATCCCTGACTCCTCACTCTGCCTCTCCCCCCTCCCCCCCAATCCAAGATGGTGCCAAGACCTGTTGGTTTCACCTTTGCACCATCCCTGGTCCATTTCACTTCTGCAGCATCTCTACACCATTTCTTATCCATTAGAATTTAGCAACACCTCACCAATCCTTCCTTCGCTTCTGAGACACTGCCACCCTCCCAAGTATAGGTCCTCACATCCCCAGGCCTGGTCTACTACACTACAATAGACTCCGTCTGTCTCAAATCCTCCCCCCCCCACCCCCTCAGCCCCATTCCAGTCAACCGTCCACTTAGGTATCAAATTGATCTTCCTAAAGGGCAGGTCACTCAGAGCCCTTCATAACCTGCCCCCTCCTCCCTTTCCAGTCTTCTTACACCTCATTCCCTGACACATACTCCTCCACGCAGTGACCCTGGCCTCCTGGCTGTCCCACCAACAAGACCTTCCGTCTCCAGACTGAGCCTTTGCCTGGAATGCCGTCCCAGCCCCAGCTTCCCCAGCTGCCTTTAAGTCGTACCCTGATTCCTGATCCCACCCGTGCCTCCCCAGAGTGGATTACTCCCATTTATCCGCTCCACGCATAGCGGTCCCTGGAGACTCAGAGCCCACGAGGGCAGGGAACGCCAGCACAGAGCCTGGTACACAGTAGGCGCTTAATGAATGCCTGCTGATGACCTTCTACAAGAAGCCTTCCCCGACCCTCGGCCACACCGAGGGGGGGTCTCCTCTAGGCTCTAGAGATGAGGGGGTCCGCGGCACCGCCAGGGCCAAAGAAAGGTCAGAGGGTCAAAGGGGGGGCTCCGAACGCCGCAGCAGGGATGAACGGGGGTCACGGGGTCAGATACGGCGATGGGGGAGGGGCTCCCGGCGCCTTCCCGGGAGGGGGGGGAAGGCAGGGGCCGGCGCGGGGTCGCGATCCCCTGCGCACGCGCGCCCCTTCCCCGCGTACGCGAACACCCGCGCGCCTGCCCGCCGCTCACCAGAAGAAGGTGTTGGTGCCGTCATCGTACACTTCGGACTCGGTGCTGCGGCGCGCCCCTGTCCCAGCCCCGGGCCCGGGCTCTACCGGCGGCCCTTCCAGCGAGGCCTTGCCCTGCGGCTCCGGGCCCGGAGCGTCCCTGCGCTCGACCCGGCGCATGGCGTTGGCGTCGGCTCCACACTGCTCGCCTCCAGCTTCGGCTCGGCCCGCCCGCTGCGCCCCGCCCCCGGCCCGCCCCGCACGCACACCCCGCCCCCGGCCCGCCCCGCACGCAGGGTTGCCCGGCTCATGTCATTGGACGCTGCTCCCGGACCGCAAGCCGCGCTGTGGCGCCTAGTCCCAAGCAGCGGGCCGGAGGGACGCGGGCTGGTTGCCAAGGTGACGCCCTCATCCCGCCCCTGGCGCACGCCGCGTTAGCTCCGCAGCCGCGCGGCATGCTGGGAAGTATAGCCACGCCACGCCCCTCGAACGCAGCGCGTCAGCGCACGGCTCCTCGCGCAGCTGCCGAGCCTCACGGCGTCCTGGGATTCGTAGTCCCGGCCCTGCTCCCGCTCCCGCCCGCAACATGATCGTCCGGTCCCTACAGCAGCCCCAGCAGTCGGGGTCCTCGCTGGCCCTCTGGGTGCGAACAAGCCATCCCTGGGCGCCCTCAATCTACCAGTCCTTGAGCCCAAAGACCCTGATCATGACCCAGCCCCTGGACTCGTCCGCCTCGCTGCGTGCCCGCCCCCCACCCCAGCACCAGCAGAAACAGGTGTCCACCTCCCGCCACGCGGTCCTGGGGCTCGGCCGGACCGCGCCATCCCCGACCTTGATCCCGACCTTCCCCGTGAACCAGGATCGGTCGTCGCCCGGGACCATGACCTCGCCGCCTTTCACCACGGCCCGGCAGTCTTTCACTGTGACCCCACCGCCCTTCACAGTGACCCTGCCGCCCTTCACAGTGACCCCGCCCCCTCTGACAGTGCCCCCGCCTCCCTCTCCAAACCCAGCTTCGAGCTCGGAAGCTATCGGCCTGGCCCCTTTCGCCCTGACTCCGCCCCCCTTGAAAGTGACTCTGCCCCCCCCTTCGCCGTGACTCCGCCCCCTCTCGATCTGAGCGCCCATCGCCTAGCCAGCGTGACCCCGCCTCCTATAACCGTGACCCCGCCTCCCTTAGTTATCACCCCGCCCCCCCCTTGGTCCTGACCCCGCCTCCCTTAGCACCAAACTCCAACTCCGTAACCGTGACTCTTCTTCCCCTAACCGTGACCCCGCCCACCTTAACAGTGAATCCTCCCCCTCTGACTGTGACAGCTCCTCCACTTTGACACCTCTCCCCCGCCAGCTCCCGGGGCCGCGGCCGCCCTGGCCCCCTGCGGGGGGGGGGGGAGATGCTAGGCTTTCAGTGCACATGCCCTAGGAAGTATCGGTCCCGTGCTGTGGGTCCCCGCGGGTGACACCGGCTGGGGGTGGGCTGAGGCGGGTGAGGGCGGCGGCCTGGGCCGCTGCACAGTGTAGAGATCCCGGGACAGCTCCCTGACACCAGAGGGGTGGCTGGATGTCACAGGGCAAGGAGGCTCCAGGGCTTGAGGCGAGGGCCACAGGGCAGAGGATGGAGCCCGTCTGGGAGAGCCTGCCCCATCCCCGGGATTTGGGAGCAGTGCTGTTTGCATTGGCCCCCTCTCTGGGACCAGATGACTCCGACCCTCCCAGGGCGGTCTGCGTCTGACGGTGGGAATCCTGTCAACCATCAGCCTGAAGACAGTTGGCTCTTGGCAAAGGCATCATGCCCAAGGGTCTCAATGTGGATTGAACTGATTCCCAGTCATCAGAATAAGTCATTCACCAATTAATAAATACTCCAAGTATGATGAGAGGCAGTTTTCTAGGGGAAAACACCAGGCTTTCTGTCACCTTATGGAAAAAAACCCAAAACACTCCAGATCATTCATCATTGTTTTTCAGTCTTTCACGGTTGTTTCTCTAACTGTTCACAGCCCATTTGGGATTTTCTTGGAAAAGATACTGGAGGGGTTTGCCATTTCCTTCTCCAGCTCATTTTATAGATGAGGAAACTGAGGCAAACAGGGTGAGGTGACTTACACAAGGCCACAGAGCTAGTGTCTGAGGTTGGATTTGAACTCAGGCCCCTTCCTCTATCCACTGCAGTGCCCCCTAGCTGCTCAACCATTAATAATCAAAGAAGTGCCGCTGCAGATTTAAGCTATCCTGAGGTGCCTCCTCAACCCATAACACTGGCCAAGTTGACAAAAAATGGAAAATGAGCAAAATTGTTGGGACTGTGGGTAAGCAGACACATTCACATAGCACTGTTCAAGCTGGAAAACAATTTGGAGCTAGACCTAAAAAGGGAGTGAACTATGAATACCCTTTGACCCAATAAATGCCATTCACTACTAGGCCTCTACTTCCAAAAGATCGGAACAAGAAGAAAAGGACTGGCCCCCCAGTCTGGGTGGCCACTCATTTCATAGCGGCCCATCAGTGGCGTCAGTGTCCCAGTGAGGGGTGGTCTCTGTGTGTTGACCTAAAGGAGGTTTGGAAGACCACTGACTATGCTGTAAGAAATGAGGAAGGGGTTGGTTCAGAGAAACCTCGGAAGACTGAGATGAGCAGATGCAGACTCAGAGAACCTTGCACACAATGTCTACAACAGGGTGACAACAAACAACTGTGGAAGACAGGAACTCCGATCCTCTTGGCAGAGAAGGGAGGGGCGCACTAGGGGAGGCCTTCAGCTTTAGATTACAGCCAAGATGGGAACTTACTTTTTTTGAACTATGTGTATTTGTTATGAGAGTTTTCTCTTTTGTCTCGAATTAGGGGGTTGGACATGAGAGAATATAGATTTTTATTAGTTGAAAAAAATAAAACCTAAGAGGAAAACAGAAGCTACCAAGCATCCCTAAGCTATGCTCTCCCACAGATCTCCCCAGTGGCCGTGAGAAGTGTGGCCATGGGGTCTCCAAGTATTTGACTCTCACCTGCGGCTCCAAGAAGCTCTAGTGTGCAAAGGGCCACACCCCACTAAAACCATCTCAGCAGGGTTGAGGGTAACCAAGGCCACCAACCTGTTGGTGAGTTAGGGGGCTGTGCACCCCAAGTGTGGGAAGACTTCCCCGCCAGAACGACACATGAGAACAGCTGTTACAGAGTCCATGAAAGTGGCTGAAGCAGGCACAGTGGAGTGCCTCTAGCTTGGTCAGACATTAAAGATGCCACAGTCACCCGCTACATCCCGGGCCACCCCCAGTCCTCCTGACTGTTGGCCTGCCTCTGGACTTTGATGTCTCTGAAAGAGAGAGTGAGGCTGATGACTTTGTGCAAATCTGCCTCCCCTCAATCCAATTCACTGCCAAGTCAAGACACCACCCCGTGATGTCACTGGTCCTCTTGGAAGTGAAGGACAAAGAACCTAGCATTTGGCTCTGAAGTTCACAGCCAGCTCTCCTAGAAGTTGTCTGTGTCAGTCTAGGGAGGGGACTCTTTCTGTACCCCTGGCACTTAGAACAGTGTCTGGCACATAGTAGGTGCCTAATGAATGCTGATTGATTGGCCTTGGATTCTCCCCAACTGATTCTCCTGCTGATAGATAGATGGGGGCATCTCCTCCTGAATCTGACTCCCCCAGTGGGTGCCATGACTTGCCCCACAGGGAGAAAAGAACCTTCTCTTCCTGCCAAGAGGTGAAGAGCTCAGTTCTTCCTGGACTCAAAGAAGAAGAGGAGAGAGAGTTGTGTGGATTTCCTGTGGGGCCTCCTGACGCTTCTCATCACCACCATCTTCCAAGTTTGTTCCATTCTTCTCAAGGACACTGCATGTCTTTGTGGGAGAGCGTGCCCAGAATCATGGTGGGTGGAGGGAGGTTTGGTAGTGCCTGCTTTCACCACAGCTTCTTAGTAGATATCTGCTTTGTGCTGATGCTTATTCTGATGGACTGGACTAAACTGGACTGGATGCTCTCTGAGAGCATGGACTGTCCTGATGGCCCCAGTGCCTGGCCCATTGGGAGGGTTCAGCAGATGCTTGTTGAAGCTTCCCGTGGAGGCATGAGCCCAACGTGAAAGATCACGTGAACAACAAATTGGAGAGGCATGGGAGAAATGCCTTTCAGACCTGGGGAGACTAATGCAGAGGACCACACAAGACAAAAGGGACAATTCTGATGACATAAAATTGAAGAGCTTTCATACAAACCAGTCTAAGGTGGTTTGAAAGGAAGCAGGTTACTGGGAGCATCTTTGCAGCGTGTCTCTCATCTCCAACATGCATCAGGAACTGGTTCAAATGGCTAAGACTAAGATCCATTCCCCAAAAGATAAATAGTGAAAGGATAGGACGAGATAGTTTTCAAAGGGTGAAATCTATGCTGTCAGCAACTGTATGAAAAAAAGGCCTAAAAGAGAAATGCAAATTAAAGCAACTTTGAGGTTCCACCTCCCACCTCTCTCATTGGCAGAGATGACAAAGAGGGGATGTGGCAAGGTGGGTTCACTAGAGTGCCCTGTTGTTGGAGCTGTGGACAGGTCCAGATCCCCCAGGAAGCCACTTGGAGTTCAGCCCCAAAGTTATTCAACTGTTCATCCCCTCCAAGCCAGTTAGACCACTTCCAGACCTGGACCCCAACAAAATCACAGAAAGAAGAAAAGGGGTCCGAAAGGAACTTGGGAGGAATTCCTGGGTAGCCACTCTGGAGCTTGAGGTGTTGAGGGAAACAGGTGGTTTTGGGAAAAAAGTGTCTTGGACTGTGGTTCTTACACACACAAACACAACCACACATCTACACACACACCCCACACCCATACATACACACTCACACACACCCATACACACACCCCCAAATGCTCACACACACACACTCAAACACCCCCACATACACACTTACCCATATACACACACCCTCATATACATAACCACACCAAAACACCCCTACACACTCCCATCCACACACACCCACACACTTGTGCACACTCACACACCAAACACGCACCCCTCCACACAAACACACGCATCTACACACACACCCCACACCCATATACACCCCCAAATGCTCACACACATACACACTCAAACATCCCATACACACTTACCCATATACACACACCCTCATATACATACACACACCAAAACACCCATCCACACACCTCTGTCCACACAAACCCACACCCAAACACTTGCACACACACACATTTACCCATCCACACACACCTATACTCAAACAC